CAAGAGCTATCCCTGGAGCATGAGTTCGACTTTGGGAGCCCATTCCTATGATGAATGTCTTGCTCAGCTTTGAAGCAGTGGGGAGGAGCTTGGTCTTACCTCAACTTAATGTACCAGGCCTTGCTGACTCCCCAGGGCGTGTCTCACCCTTTCTGAAGAGTAAAAGGGGTGGGGAGAGAAATTGATTAAGGGAGAGAGGGAGGAGAGAAGGGAGGGAAAACTGTGGTTGGTATCTAAAATGAATAAAAGGTTTAAAATAAAAGAGAACACACACAGACACACACGTGTACATGACAGCAATCAGTGAAACAGTGTAAAAAGAAGCCACGAATATGAAAGAGAGCAAGGAGGGGATAAGGGAGGATGTGGAGGGAGGAAAAGGAAAAAGTGAATGATATAATTGCATTATAATAGAAAAGTCTTTTTAAAGAATTCCAAGTCATTTGAGTTTGTTGAGAATAAGTTTACCAGAGTTTTCTGCTTAGCCTGATGGAGATGCAGCCCATGAGGGCTGGCTGCGGCCATCAAAGACTCCGGTGTACAATGACATGTCATTTAGCCCTCTCTGCTCTGTCATTAGTGGAACCAGCTTCATGTTCCTTGTCTCCTTGATCTGCTGGTGATCACCGTGCCTTTGTGTTGGCACAGAATCCTATCTCAGCCTTATGAAAGTTGATTTTTCTTTTGGTTAAGGAAGGACTTGTATTTTTTTCCATGTAATTGGCCAGTGTTTTCGTTAGTGTTCCATTTTAGCCTATCTTCTTCCATTTCCTCTCTCACCCCACTCCTCCTTTATATTCTTCTTTGTCCACTTGCTTCATGTTCCTCCTTTCAGTGACAGTATACGTGTGAACATGTGTGTAGACGAGCATGTGTGTAGACGAGCATGTGTGTAGACGGGCATGTGTGTAGACGGGCATGTGTGTAGACGGGCATGTGTGTAGACGGGCATGTAGGTAGACGAGCATGTGTGTAGACGAGCATGTGTGTAGACGAGCATGTGTGTAGACGAGCATGTGTGTAGATGAGCATGTGTGTAGATGAGAGATCATTAGGAGAATGAGTGTTCTCAGGTGTTAGTGTCTGGGCAACTGTTCAATTTTTATATGTTAATTTACATTAACAGTTTCGTACTTATATGTGTGTGTGTATACATGTGCCTATGAGTGTGTGTGTGTGTGTGTGTGTGTGTGCACATGCATATGCCATGGATCATGTGAAATGGTCAGAGGACAACTTGTGATGAGTTGATTTTCTCCTTCTACTATGTAGCCAGGGCTTATAACTTAGCTTTCTTTTTAGACTTTCCCTGCCTAATCATTGTGGTGGTTTGAAAGAAAATGGACCCCAAGGGGAGTGGCACTATTAGGAGGCATGACCTTGTTGTAGGAAGTGTGTCACTGTGCAGGCAGGCTTGCTTTGAGGTCTCTTTTGCTCAAGTTTCTGTCAGTGTGGCTGTCAGTTGACTTCCTGTTGCCTGCAAGATGTTGCATTCTTAACTCTAGCACATCTGCCTGAACACCACCATGCTTCCCTTCATTGTAATAATGGACTGAACCTCTGGAACTGTAAGCCAGCCCCAATTAAATGCTTTCCTTGTCACAGTCATGATGTCTCTTTACAGTAATAGAAATACTAATGAAGACAATCATCATGTCAGTTTCTACTTTACTGCATTTAGCTAAGGTGCGTCACTGGCTTGGGCTTCAGTGAGTGTGTTAGGTTGGATAGCTATGAGTTCTTGTCATTGGCCAGACTCTGCATGCCCGAGCACCCCAGTACTAAGAGTATACAACCAGGTGCCTAGGGATGGAACCTAGGCCCGCATGCCCGTGCAGCAACCGCTTAATTGACTGGCCTGTGTCCCCTGGCCCAGAACTTTTTGAGACCTGGTATCACTGTAGCCCAGGTTCGCTCAGAACTTGTAATGGAGCCCGAGGCAATCTTTCTGCCTCCATCTGTCAAGTGTTGAGGTTAAAGGCACAGGCCACCATGCACATCAAGAATCCCAAAGTCAAAACTAATTTGTTGTTGGATTGAGGGAGTTTCTTGGAAGTGGTTAGTGGTGTCATCTCAAAGTTATTATTTTTGCAATACTTTTTGGAACTTATCCTGCTTTGTAGTATGTTTTATGTCTCGTCTAAGTGTGTTAATAAAAACACATTCATACATTTCTTTAACTACAATATTACTCAAAAACTTGGCAAATACCTACATGCTCTTTATGGAAGCTGGAAGTTGGGTCTCTTTAGTTAGCAAACCACCATCAAGGACAAATAACTCTAGTTTTTCAAAAACTTCCAACCTCAAGTCTTTCCCTAAGCCTTTTCCATCTTCACATACATTTGGTTTAAGAGACCACTTCTTAGACTCTCCCCTGCCTCCAGACTTCTGTGGAATGTGTCTCTGAGAACTGCTTTTAAGCAGCTGTCTCTGCTCAGAGATTCATGCAAGGCTGTAAGGGCTCTCGTCATACGCCACACAGCCCTGTGGCTCAGTCACTAATGTCTGCTTGCAGTTCTCTTGATTTCCCTTTGATGTTTCTCGTTTCAATTTCAATTTCATGGACAATTTTAACATATTTAAGCTCAAAAGTTTATTATGAGCAAGCCCAGGGATACCGCCATCTCTGGTCCTTGAGTGCTGGGGTTAAGGTATGTCTTGAAACACCTCGCTTTTTATGTGTATACTGGGAAATCAAATTTTATTCTTCCTGCTTGTCCAGTAAGCAGTTAACCGACTGAGACACCTCTACAAACCCTTCACTCCAAGTGTTTAATAGCTGTGTAGCATTCCAAACATTCATAACAGTGAACTATATATTGATCAAAACTAAGCTGCTTCCTTTAGTTTTTAGTTACATGAAGCAATGAACATATGTTTATTTGCTTTTAATTTTTAATTTTTATTTTTTGTTTTTTTCAAGACATGGCTCTTGTTCTTTTTTTTAAAACTTTTTTTTTGAGCTCTACATATTTTTCTTCTTCCCTCCCTGCCTTGAAGGGGGGGGGGGGAAGAGGCAGAGGTTCTTGTTGTTCTTATGTATATATTTTGTTATTTTGGTACACATTGAGCCAATTTTCAACTTATAGTTAGTTAATACTCATTAGTAACAGATAAAACAACAGTGATTACACATTTTCATTCTAATTGTTCCCATCTTAGCCACACTTTCTATAACAAATTTTAAACCTAAATGTTTGCATTTCTTCTAATTCCAAGGCATGCCAAAAGGGTGTACTATCAAAGTCAGTGCTCCCGATCACTCATGATGCAACACTTTGGGGTGTTGAAATATTTAAAATAGAACATTTCAATTAGAACTTGTAAATGAGCTATAACTACAGCCTCCAAAGTGCAGCCTTTACCCGTATGTTGAAGCAGAGATTCCTCCCGGCATTCCTCATATTGATGCCAATGGCCAGCCATGATCATCTGCTGCAGGAATGTCAAATGTGTCCAGAGGCAATTGGGCCAGATTTGTCTTATTTTAGGGAGCTGTTGTCATAAGTCAGTTAATATTTTCTGGTATCGTTATTGCCCTCTCACCAACAGATTTGATAGGACATATGGAAATTTCTGGAAATGTGGCCTGAGCATTCCAATCATAATAACTTTCAATACAGCTTACATAGGGAAGGGAATGTTTGCCAGAGGCACAGGATATTCTGTTGATGCACGGTCTGAGCATATTGACTTCTGCAGTAAATGGCCTTGAGTTCATTTAAACGAATTAGCAATACATTACTAACTAGTTTGTTAACAGAAAGCACAGATTATGGAAATAAGAGAGAATTAGAAAGGTCCCTTCTAATTCAAAGAGTAGGTAGGTAGCTCAAATTAAGCAAAATGAAGAGTATCTATTTTCTGTTTAGTAAATGCAAATTTATGGATTAAGATTACATCAGAAGAGGAGACGAAAAACATCTTTGAAAAACTCTTATTGCCCAAAGTGTTCCAATCTTCAGGGTTTCTTCAATTGAAGAGTAACTGTCACTTTGATTTACATCCGTTTATGTAATACTATGTTTACAAATATATTTAAGGAAGCCTGAAATCTTGAATAAGAGTCCAATGCTAACCCAGTCATGTAGGGCCACCCTGTATTTTCTCATCTGGAAGCTTCCTCAGGGGAATCCCTGGATTCATTCAAAGAAGCCTTGGTATAAAATAAAATTTCATATCATGTATTGGTCCTTTCCAAGGTAAAGATACAATAATGCATCTATTGATAGTGGATATACTAGCATACCATTTAACGTACATGTGCAGTATTGTCTTTCCATATAGAAAGGATTATTTTGAATTTTAAAGAGTTATCGTATTTTTTAATTCTGCGTATGTGTGTGCATCGGAGTGCAAGTATGTGCAGATAAGGTCAGTGTCCCACAGAGGCTAGGAGAATGCCTGGATTTCTCGGAGCTGGAATTACAGACAGTTGCGAGCCAATCATCATGGGTGCCTGCCATGACGGTCCTCTGGAAGAGAAGGGTATGCCCTTCACCTCTGAGACATTTCACCAGTTCCAAGTTGTTTTTGGTTGTTTGTTTGTTTGTTTTTGTTTTAAGTATGTGAGTGAAAACGACAAAACGTGCTTTGAAAAGGAAAAGGAAACAAGTCCAAGCAAATGAGGCAAAAGTAAACACACTGCACTTTCTCTTCTAAAACATAAATGCCACTTTTCAGGCCATCAACTACAAAGTAAAGGACTGTGGTGACAAAATTCCAAGGACAGCAAACCATGCTAAGTCCTTTCTGGACACAATTTTAAAGAGCCACAAAGCATCGCAATGCTATTAGTGAAGCAGTAAGATTATTATATGCCAACTCTCACACATCTTCCTCATCTTATCAAGTGAATTGTCCTTAAGCCGTATGAGCTGCTTAACAGGTCAAAACAAAACATCTGCGCATTCTCTGTAGCCCAAGCTACTTCGTAAGTGATGAGAATGATTATTTACAACATTTCAAAAGCCAGCTGATCTGCGTGTGAGGCTTACCTTTCTCTTGCGCAGTCTGACTTGATTGTCTATGGTCTCCTGGGTGGTCACTGGGCCCCTTAAGTGTAAACACTGCATGCCATCGTCTGCGTTGACCTTGTGAGGGCTGTTGTTTTGATGTTCTGAGAACCCGCTCTTGTCCAGGTCACTTTCTGCTGACATTCCACCCGCACAGGAAGGAGGCTGCAAAAGGCAGCTTCCAAAATCTGCTTTTAATAATGGCGGTCCCCTGTCGGCATAAGGAGCAGCCAGGAACTCGTCTTCTGCTACGCACTGGTGATTTTTTTCCTGTTCCTCTTTAGGGAAGTCAGGTTTCCTTCGTTGTTGCGCAATTACCGCAGAATTAAGCAGTTGGGTCTCAGGTGTTGTATCTTCCACATTCAAAGAATCACATGCATTTTCTTTGGGCACATCTTTTGTTTCCTTTGAATTTATATCCTTACAAAGCTCCAGGCTTTTAGTTACAGCATCAGCACCTTGCCTTTTCCCGCTTTCTTCTGCTGGAGATACATTGGCTTCACCAGCCTTCCTCCAGGAGTTATATGAGTCTTGGTTACTTTGTATAGTGGACAGTGTCTTGAGGAAGGAGCCTGCTCCTTCATCACTACATTGGCTGTCTCGTTCATGTCTTTGGGGAGTTGAAATCTGTGCATCACCGGTAAGGTGGAGATCAGAGTCAGTATCCTCATCAGAAATGTGCACTAACGTCTCTGTGCTGGCCTCCAGAGACAGAAACTGCTCGTCCCCTTTCTGGCTGCCACTATCATCCACCTCCTGTGAAATGTGACCCATTGGCTTCCCAGGGAAGTCTCGTGGCTCGGGCCCACAGCAGCAGTCTGGTAGAGAGGCACACTTCTCTATATGGTCCACATTTAAGGTTGCATCTTTTTCCATACTTGCCTGCAAGCTGTCGGATGCCAGTCCGTGATGACATGCTATGTCATACTCATCAGAATTAAAAGGCTGTCCAGTCTTTTGGGTCACATGCTCTTCCCAACTCCTTTTTCTGATAGCTACAGACATGTCACCATAGCTTAACGACAGACAAGGAGATGCATTCCATATGACGTTCACCAGGGATGGAACTTGACAGTAGAAGATTTTGAATTCATGGATCAAAGAAAAGAGTGTGTTCTGCCATTTTGTCGCCTGTTAAAAATTTTGAAAATATGCTGTTATAGATACATTTCCAAGGTAATAATGTTTCTTGGCAAAGAATGTAAATCTGTGTTATTTAGCAGAGGTAGGAAATAATGCAAAGCCTTTATTTATTAGCCTTAATGGTTTTGTTTCTCAGAAGTAGTCTAATAAGAGTGAAAAAAAATAAATTTAGTATTTTTAGTGAAACTCTATCAGCACGTAAAAAAGCAGTTGGGCTGGTTTATTAGTGAATGAAGATATAAGTACTAAAAACATTTTAAGCTTCATTAAGAAAATACTTGAATTGCAATACATAATAAAATTCACTGGAAAAGCTAATTTGTTGCTCTGGCTTTGCATGCTTTCCTGATTTCCTTTTGTGAATAAAAGCCATTAAAGGAGCTGATTTGAACTGAAACAAGGGCCACCGGGGAACTGGTCCTACAATCTTGAGCAACAGCGACAGCATGTGCAATTCATTACTGTGTAAAATAACTCATTCTAGTCCCAGTAACCAAGATGTCTCTCCTCAGAGTGTAACAGAGAAACAGAAGAATACAGTTTAGTTCAGATCAGCTCACAATTCATGAATAAGAAAGCATGATACATTCTATTATATTCCATTATAAGGTTTTAAGATACATACATCTATCCATACATTCATTTTCTGCCATTATTAATATCATGGAAGTATTGTTGAAGCATAAAAGGTATATGAGTGTTCAAAGCAACAGACCTAGGGCATGAGCCAAAATTTTAAATCAGGTCATGGTTCCAAGGGCCAGGCTCACATAACCAATGGAGTTCATTGTCTCCACAGAATTGTGATATTTTACTATTCATCATCATCTTCTCTCACGTTTTTCCTATGAATGAATGCTAACCTCCCCATGAAGCAACTCAAGTGAACCAGAAGCATCATGAGACAATGAGGTCCAGTCTTCAGATACTCAAGTCTCATCCTCTGTCTTTGTAAAGATGTTGGTACATTTTCGATTTGGACCATACAGATTTAAGCAAACAACAAAATCCCATGTAAGATAAGATCAGAACGTAAGCACTTCCCAGGTCTGCATCTCTGCCTTGAATTATTTAAACTAGTTAAAGGAAACAAGTTGTATCCATGTTAAAATCAGTCTTCTAAAGGTGATAACTCAACTGTCAGTCTACAGTGAAAACAAATTACTGGACTGTGAATGAAAAATCCCATTGAAAGAGCAGTTTTTAGTTTCTGCTCTGCAAAGGAGCTGCCAGCATATAATGTTGCCCTTAGTCATAAACCAGATTAACTGCTGAGTTGGCTTCAATCCCATCTTTTGAAAAGGACTCTGACTCCCCACCAAAAATTCAAGTTATTCTAATGAAGCAAACGCTAGAAAGGTAAATAGTCACACCCCATAAAGACGGGTGGAATTAAGATGTGCTAGCACTTTGGTACCCTGGGAGGGACCCAATATCCTTCTGGATGTTTTTTGGTTCCTTCCGAGGTCTGTGGCCATCTTTGAAAATGGCCATCATTCACATTTTCCATGTTGGCATTCACCTTGCACCGAGAAGAAAAATATAAAGCCTCCGAATTCCATGCATAGGTCATTATAGTGTGGGAGGCTACGGAAAGTGGAGAAAACGCTCAGAGGCAGGCCAGAAGTTTTCTGCTTTCATGGGCAAGTTTGGGTTGTAATAGGGTGGTTCTGTTTCCGATGCTTTCTTTTCTTTATTTTTATCCAGTGCAGAAGGAACAGGGTAACTTAAGGAATGCCAAGTGGTGTTACTGTGTCATTCCTCAGCCCCATTTATGTTTAGGTTGAGCCTGAATTCTGGTTTCATTTCTTTTACTGAGGAGAAATGCAGCTCTTTGAGTGCCTCAGAAACTTTGAGCTGAATCTGAAAAGTCAATACACAGTATTTTTTTTTCTTCTAAGAGCTTATGGTAGTTTTATCTTATTTTATTCAGCAGAGGCAAGTATGAAAGCCCTTCTGTCATATCGAGGGTTGGTAGATCAACAAATTCTAACAGCTCACAGAGATTATAAATTAGTTAGGGTCAATATAGCGCTAACTCTAGCCTTATGTCTAATCTAGGCTTTCAGGATATTTTAATATCATTTTTATGACCCTGTGCTGTCCATTTTTAAGGACAAAATATTTCCTACTTCTATTATGAACATCACCATTATGTTCTCAACCCTATCCCACAGTCTATGGTCTGATAGGCTTCAAACCATTTCATTTCTATCGTATTTCCTATGCACACTTCTTACTTAAATCCAGATTTTTTTAATTTCATAGTTAAAACTTCCACTTGAACCCAGAGAAATCATTAATAAATAGAAGGAAGCATTGAGTTATTGGCACTGTATCTGAGCATTGCAACCTAGTTTTCTAAATTATCTGAACTGACTCAAATCCATGCTATAAGATGTGTTCTTTCTAAAAAGTCCAACTTTCCCTAAGGGAGTCTATATCAAGTTGCTTCATTTAAAATTATCTTTCAACCTAGGGACCACTATTCTATATATTTCTGTTATATTTCTTTCCTATTTCTTTTCATGCAGTTTTATTTAAAATGAGCTCAGCTGCTGAGGATTTGGAAGGAGGGCCTGGAAAAGTGTAGGTCATTCTAGGGTGTTGATTTTATGAAGTGAATTTCCATGGGGATTTTTACTTCTGAAATGCTTGTGTTCAAGCATTGCTGTGTCAGTGTTACGAGAGGATCTACACACTTCTGTCATGCATATATCCTAGAAAATCCTAGTGAGGTGTTCAAAGTCACTTTTTTGTGGGACTATTGCATACCATGTGTAGACAGGAAGTAATTTCAAATTTACTGTTTGGGTAATTTTGTACAACTCCTTAACATATACATCTCATATATGTTACAGTTAAACACTATTTAACACTATAGTATCTAAAAATGAGAAGTGGATACATTCGAGTTTGTGAATCCCTGACCAATTTGCCATGTTAAATGATCACACCATAGTTTACATTTAATTCTGAAACACACACATACACACACACACACACACACACACACACACACACACAGAGTTCATAATTTACTCTTCTAATTAGAAGAGACTTCATTGATTATTGTCATTTCCACATAATGAAAGAGGAAGAAGAAAGAAAAGGATGATGAGGAGGAAAAGGACGACGAGGAGGAGGAGGTGGAGAAAGAGGAAGGAGACAAAAGTAAAGCCCCTGAGGCTACAACAGTGTGTAGTAGTATCCAGTGGAGAGCTGTACTCTCTCTACAGATAAGAGTAATCCACTAAGAGCAAATGGTTAAATCTTCATTTAATATTTAAAAAATGGCAGACATTGTGATGACTATAGAGCATAGAAATGCAAATATTATATTCTTTCTTTCCGGTGGAACCTTATAATCTTATGGAATATACTCATATAAACAAGGAGAGTCGCATCATTGATGGATATGACTATTATGAAACCTTCACATCTGTCGGGAGCATCATTCCCTTGCTGCCCCTTCCTCCCATCTCTTCTTTAAAGGAAGTGATGCGCTAGATAAATCCTCACAGAACGAAATCTTCCTTGGTTCATTTTCTGCCTCTACAACAGCTAAGGTAAGCTTGGTAGAATTTCCTACTTGATGAAAGAAATCTTTCTTCTGCTCCTAGAGACTTACTATTCTGGGATACCCTATGGTAAAGACAATAGATGCAGTGACAAGTGCTAGAAAATTATTTGAACTTTAAAATTCATTGAAAATTATTTTAATCTCAAGAATCACAGAAAAGTGACAATTTCTCAGGAAAACTTCATAAAATTTAGAAGGGATCTTTTCTTCAAAGAAAAATATGAGCAAAGTACATCATATGTATATGTGAATGGTTCAGAATAAAGTCCATTATTCTGTATGCTATTTTTAAGATTTCTCTTTTTTAAATTTTTAAGTGTGTGTGTGTGTGTGCGCACACACGTGCGTTTGACCACCAGTGCCCACAGAAGTCATAAGAGTTAGATCCCACCAGAGCTAAAGGTAATTCTGAGCCACCTGATGTGGATGCTGAGAATCAAAGTAGGAAACTCGGAGAGAGATCTATACCTACTTTTTAACTACTGAACAACACCCGCTTCTCTTTAGGTCCTAACTTAATCAGACAACCTCCCAGGAGTAATGATGATGTTTTTAGAGCAAAGAGAATCATGGATTGTACAGCAGAACAAAAGAATAAAAATTGAATATATTGAGAAGCATCACTGCAAGATTTTAGAACATAGGCTACATAAAGAAAATGCCCTTAATGCTTTTAGAGAAGTAGATTATATTTGAGGAATTCTGAGTGAAGATGGTGCTAGATTTCTCAGAATCAACACTGGAAATAAGATGGCAAACAAAGATTCCTTTAAAATTTTGGGTAGGAATTTGTTTCTGCTTTAAAATATATTTTTAGAACTGACTAGAGAGACAGACAGACAAGGCAACAAGAAAGCCAAGAATTCAGTGTAAATGTCTGCATAACAGAATTTTTATGATGGAAATTCACCTAGTGTGTTTTTGTACAAGATGTGTCTAAGAGAAACATCTTCAAAAGAAAATGCAAATGTGTACACTGAGACGTGCTGTACAACGATGAGACACAATTTGGGTGGGAAATAATTGATAGCAAGGATTACAGAGAACATTGGAGGAATCAGTTATCTACTCTAGCAGAAACAGTTTTATCAGAAAGGAAATATAATCTGTATAATGCTTACATAGTGGGAATAGCACAAAAAAATCAATACTGACTCAAAAACTAAATAAAGTGGGAAATAACCATCTTTAAAGCATGGAGTTTTGTGAGGGGTGATGTTAGAGATTTTGAGGAAATTGAGGGAAGTCTTTATTTTCTGTAGTAAATACTAAGAGATACTTTCTAACATGGAAAAATGCATTATGTTATAAATTTTTATTACTGTTTAGAAATGTGTATGCAAATATCAGAAAAGATAAACAATATAAACTTAGAATATGATTTTATTTACTTGATATAGAAAAA